TCTTGTACATTCTAACATGGTAATGGCATAGATTTAGAAAGAGATATCTATGGTAGTGATATTTTAGTTTTTTCTCTTTTTTTAAGTTATAACTACGTAGGAGGATTTCAGGCTGGACGGGAAGAGAATTTCGTACACAGCAGATGTGACTGAGGATGCACGGCAAATTAAACTTCTTTTGTTTTGCTTTCTTGGTCATTGTTTTGTTTTCTTGGCGTGATTGGCTTGCTGAGTATAAACCTCAATACAATGGCATTCTGTATGTCCTAGGTGGGGGCAAGTGGTGGTGGGAAAATGGAGACCACTGTACTTGAACAATAACAAAAACATTAAATTAAATTAATTAAAAAAAAGACTATCAGATACTGTCCCTGACAGGAACCTTCCAAACTCAGAAGGCAGCTCACTAACCCCTATTAAAAGCCCTCCCAATAAATGTAATCAATGTCCCTGTGATTGCTATCTCTAATACTTCTGTGTCTACTCTGTTGCCCTTCATAATAAAAGACCCTTCCACAGAACAGCTTTTCAAATGTTCAAAGAAAGTGTCCTGTCTTTTACTAAAGCCTTCTCTTTTCCCAAATGGCATCCTGTGCCTTTCTTTTTTCTTTTTTTATTTATCTTTTCAATTAAAAATGAATTTTACTAATTTTGCATGTTTTTGAGCATATATATTCTTTAATTTGTGAAATTTGATTATATTTTGGCTGATTTGGCTAAAATTTCTCCCAAAATTTTTTGGGAGAAATTTTACATAGAAATTTCATAGAGCCATGAAAAATTGGTTCATACAGAAAGATGCTAATGCAATTATGCATGCCATCTTAACAAAAGTAATTTTCATTTGTATGCTTTCAGTATATGTCAAGGAACAGATTGATAGAAATGTTAAACTTTGTAACTTATTCTTCAATTAGATGCTTGACATTTGCAGCCAATTAAAAAAATAGAAAGTAAAATCACCCTATAGTTCTAAATTTGTTTTACAATATAAACTCAAGAAACAGATAAATACTGATGTCACCAGTTTATTATAGCTAATAGAAACAAGCACTAGTGAAGAGGTACTTTATTATAACCAGACCTTGGAAAAATGCTCTTAAAATTGAATTTGTAAGACAAGAAGTATGTTATTACACTTAGAAATCTTACAATAAAATCATGTGTTTTATATATATATATAAATGTATGCATATATGTTTAACTTTATTTTTATTGCTAACACTATTACAGATGTCTCCATTCTCCCGCTTTGCCAAGTCATCTGTTATATATTTTAACGTATCCTTAGTGTTCACACTAGATTATATAGCATGTACTTTAACAAAAACATTTTATATTTCAAAATCTCCACTTACAATGTCCTATGGTTGTCAATAGTTTGAAAAGAATAGAGGCAGTTCTTCTAAAAGTGGGTTGTATTTTTAGAAAGCAGAGAAACTATCATACTGAATGACATGCCCGGGCAATAACAGCTAAACCCTAAAAAGAGAAGAATTCCTTGTTCCTAAGGGTGTGGTGCCAGCCAGTCAGCTGGCCCGAGGCCTGGCTGGAGGATGAAGCAAAAGAATCGTAGTCCTGGCTTTAGGCCAAGCTTTTCAAACGGAGAAGGAAACAAAGAAATAATCCTAGACTTTAGTCAGGCCAGCAGTACAGTACATCCCATTGTCTCCAGCAGTCTTCTCTCTCTCTTTTTTTTTTTTTTGTTCACCTCCCACCTAAAAACTAAGAAAGAAAGTGAGAACTTCTTAAAAAAAACTCCCATGGCATTTAATTGGAAAAATCTTTGGGATACATTTTTATAAGCCAGGAAGACAGATGACAGGAGGCTCAAGAAATAAAAAGGAAAAAGTAGGAAATGGCTTTGGGAGGTGAGCAAATGTATTACATTATGTTATATAAGTAGTGAGCCAGAGGACAAAAAAAGTTTCTGGAGTCTACTGATACTCAGTACTCCTTCCTGGGTGTAGAGATAGCAAATGGCAGGATATTTTATCGATATGTATAAAAGAACATTTGTATGACTCATTCTATAATGTTCTGATATAAAAAATGGGGGCATTTTAAGTAGCTGGCTAAAAAGAAGACCAGCAAGTCTTCGGACATTCATACATATTCTGATTACCAAATGCTTTTTTTTGAGCAGTGGGGTTTGGATGAATGTTTAATAACATGTACTCAACATTATATTATCATGCAGATTATTTTTAATGTCTAAAAATCTGTGCTCTACCTATTCATTGATATCTCCACCCAGCTTCTAATAACCACTGATCTTTTCAGTGTCTCCATAGTTTGCATATTACAGAATGTCATATAGTTGGAATTATAAAGTAGGTAGACTTTTCAGATTAGCTTCTTTCTCTTAATAACATGCATTTAAAGTTCTCCCATGTATTTTCACGGCTTGGTAGCTCATTTAGAGTTAGCTCTGAATAATGTTTTATAGTCTGAATGTGCCACAGTTTATTGACCGATTCATCTAATGAAAACCATCTGGATTGCTTCCAAGTTTTGGCAATTATGAGTAACACTACTATAAATATCCATGTGTGGGCATGCTTTCAACTCTGTGGCATAAATACCAAGGAGTATAATTGCTGGCTCATATGGTAAAAATATATTTAATATTCAAAAAACCATCAAACTGTCTTCCAAAGTAGCTGTGCCATTTTCAATGCTGCTAGCAAAAATAATATTTCTTTTTCTCCACGTGCTCATCAGAATTTGGTGTTGTTAGTGTTGTAGATTTGGGATATTGTAATAGGTATGAAGTAGCAACTCATTGTTTTAACTAGATGGTCTCTGATGACATAGGTGAATCATTTTTTCATATTCTTAATTGCCATTTATATATTTTATTTGGTGAGATATCTGTTAAAGTCTTGGGCCCATTTTACAATGGGTTATTTTTTGTTGTCATTGAAATGTAAGAGTTTTTTTTTTTTTTTTTTTGGTAACAGTCCTTTACCAAATTCTTAATACAAAGTCAGGCTGAGAATTGTTTATAATGATCTAAAAGACAAAAGGCTATGTAGGTAACCACATCAGGCAGAACTTACACATTTAATTTAACAAACACCATGAATATATTTACTCTGAATGGATCACATTAGTTATGACATAAAATTGTTCTTGGGGAAAATGTTGATTTGCTCACTCACTCATTCATTTATTCAATATTAATGCAAAAATTTATTTGCACAACTAAATTGTTTCATATATTTCAGGTACTATAACTAGGCCAGTGAGATGAATAAATTTATTTTAAATACTATTCAGTGGTATAAATTAATTTAAAAATAAGTATTGAAATTAATTTATAGGGTTTTAAATGTAATAATACAGTAATTTGATTCAGCAAAGGTTTAGACTCATGTCAATGTTTTACCACTATTTAATTTTCTTAATTTTTCCCAAGCATTGGACTTTTAAATATTTACCATATCTTTAACATAGTATGTCTACTACATGTACATTAAATTTTTTACTTTTTCTAACATAAAGAATACTATGAAGAGTCTATAAAAGATGTGAGCAAAAGCCATGCACAGTGACCATAAATATATGGTTCTGATGTGAAATTTAAATAATGTTATATGATAATAGTTTTACCCATAGCATGCTATTCAAATTGTAAGGTTATTGTTGTATAAAGACTCCTTACTTTGTAATAAATAATTTGAATTCTACTACAGTAGAGACTGCTACTTGTCCAATAATATTCATTGTTTTCTTAGTCATTGTAATAATGCAAATATGAATTCAACTTTATTTTAACATCTATTATAGTAGCTTAGCTTGTTGCTTCAATAATGTAAAACTCATCTCTGCTATTAACCAGATTTTGTAATGTTGAAAAATTATTTAGTCTCTTTGGATTTCAGTGGCCTACAGGTACCCTGAGGGTTTTCCCGACTCTAAATGACCACAAGCCTAACACTGTGGGCAGTTATGTGACGGCAGAAAATCTTTGGTGTTTGTCACCACAACTACCCCACTCTCATAATAACTGAAAGAACAAATTAATTTCATGAGATAATTGTATTAATGTTCTTTAGTAAGAAAAGTTTCACTTCAAAGTCTATTTCTCTCCTCATCCCCCACTAAGTGATTTATGTGACCCATTCTACATAATCTGAGTGGTTGGAATAACTAGGGGCCCAGAGTGATATGGGCATCATAAAGCCGGATGAAAGATAAAAAAAATAACTAGAGTAAAATAGAGGAAAAGAAAAACAGTGAGACCTCTCACTAAAAATGAGAAAGAACCAAAGAACAAATTTTGACATAAAGAAACTCTAGAGACACACTGAAGAAAAAGTACATTTACAGTGGATGTCTGAACATATTGTTGGTTTTCAGTAGAGCTGTTCGTGACTACCAAGTTCAACTAATTACACTATATTACTGCTAAGGCCACGGTTTAGTCCCCATGTGGGTCAGTTAACCGTGCCCTCTACCATAACCACAGAGCATGCCCCTAACTTTGGCCAGCTGTCTCTGAAATGCATGCTCTTTGTCATAAAAGAGGTCAGGTGTATATGGATCAGTGCAAATCTATTCTCACCACTAGGAAAAATTCACAAGGCAGATGGTAGGTCAGTAATGTCACTTTGATGCAGCGATTTTCAACCTTTTTCAGCTCATGGTGCACATAGGCTAATCATTAAAATTCTGAGGCACATCGAAAAATATTTTGCTGATCTGAAAAAATAGGTATAATTTTGATCAATTTATAGAACAAAAAATAATAATAGTAGTAGTTACCTACCCTTTTTGCTCCAAAGTGACTTTTTAAAAAATCAGGTGCCTATCCTTGTATAATACAACAAGCCTTTCCGTTACCAAAAATTAACTAACCAGATGCAGCCTTGCTACGTGATGTGACCAATAAGATGCAACTCTATTATGTAGCCTATGTACTTATGTTTCAAGACAGGGCATTCGAGATGGACAACTGCTGTTATGTTGATTGTTGTCATTTTTTTATTTGACAGGGAAATACTGTCAACTAAGGGAAAACTGGTAACTGCTCCTGAGTAAGTACTAAGGTATCGCGTGATTTAAATATTCCTGTGGCACACCAGTTGAAATTACTGCTTTAGTTTTTGAAGTACTGCATGCATTCTCATATTGAAAAGTAAAATAGATATTTGCTAGTTATCCAATTGTAATTAAGTATTTGGGATAGAAATCCAAGCAAATGTAGTTTAGATAGTCAGTATGGGGGCTTACGTGATTTACTATTAACACTACGACTTCAGGGTCTCAAACTTAAGTGACTTTGGTGGCAAAAGTAATACTCTGGTCTTTTAAATGAAAATAGTAGTGGTGCAAATGGTGAAGAATTGGGTAATTATTGCTGCACCCGATGTGCTTGAAAAGGATAGTAATAAAAACTCATTAATGAAATTCTTGATTTTGGGGGGCCTGTGATTCAGAGGCATCAGAAGATTATATCATGAATAGATCTTAAGTGCCTGATAACAGAAGAAAATATATTGACTTTATTTAAAAAATACTCATAAATAGCCCTGGCTGGTGTATCTCAGTGGATTGAGCACGGGCCTGTGAACCAAAGGATGGCAGTTCGATTCCCAGTCAGGGCACAGGCCTGGGTTGCAGGCCAGTTCCCAGCAGGGGATGCACAAGAGGTAACCATACCTTGATATTTCTCTCCCTCTCTCTTTCCCTTCCCCTCTAAAAATAAATAAATAAAATCTTTAAAGAAGCCATAATACTTAGTATTTTTTATTGTAATTATTTGTTTAAATGTGTATTCCCTCATAAGATACTGAATTTCACACACAAAAAGCAAAAATTAAAAAAATATTAAGACACTGGATTTCACATAAAAAAGCAAAAATGTCTTGTTCATTTTCTCGATAGTCTTCTCAATATTGTCCTCTCACTACTTTCAGTACACCTCACCCATGAATAGTAGAAACTTTTCTAGGGCATGGTTAGAGTGTAAACACAAATTATATAACAGTCACAGTTATCCATTATATTAATTTCACTTTTATAAATGTATTCACATTATGGTTTATTATGTATGTAAATCAAAAGTTTATTAGCATGTATAATTAGATATGTAAAAGCATATTCCCAGTAATAGAGATCACAAAACAAAAAAATTTAATCTCTATAAATTATAAATAAAAATAAATTTAGTCTTTTAAACTTTAAAATGGAAACTAAATGAACTTCAGTTTAGTGTACTTTCAACAGAAATATTAAGAAAAGTATTTGCTTGGTTGCTAGATTTTGTTAAAGTAGATGAAGATAAAACAGAAGTAAGCAGTAATTAAATTATACAGAAGATTCCTGATGAAATAAAACAATTCTTTACAACTTTCAGGTAATGGCAAAAGTGTTTCTGACAAGAAAAACATAATTAACAGCAGTGTTAAAACTGTGTTTTCCATTCTTTTGGCAATTCAAGTGTAGTAAGTGAAAGCATTAAGTAGAGTATTTGAGTTTCATATTGATCTGCATTTCATTTGACTTCTTTTTACTATTGTGTAAGCATGAAACTGGGAGGTTTGGGTTCGAAATAACAAATTACTATGCAAAATAAAAACTTGCTACCCCAGCAGCTTTTTGTTTCTACAAGGTTTGTCATGATGTGAATAAAAAAGAAAAAAAAAACAAAAAGGAAAGAAAAACAAGTGTTAATTCTTTAGAGACATTTCCGCACCAGATCTACAAGATCAAAAATAGTCCTTGAACATAGAATCATCTAGAAATTCAGCAGTTTGCAAATATATGCACTAAGGAGTAATTTTTTCACACTGAAATATTTTTGCTACACATCAGCAAGTCCTTGAGGACAGCCTGCTGGCACCAAAAACCTGCAGTTTGCTTTGGAAATAGCAGAGCGAATTATCACTGAGCCAGTGTAGCAGAGAACTGTGACATGGCTGGTCTTCACTGTGACTAGTACAATTGACCAAAAATTGTTTAACCACTGGCATCAAAAAGCCTGACTTCATTGTAATACCCCTTTCTTTTTGTGTGTGCTAAATATTTTTGAATTGTTGTTCAAATACAGTTTTCTGCCTTTTACCCCACCTTTGATACCTCTGATTATTTTTTAGAAGTGCTAAGTATGGATGTCATCTGTTCTTTCTATCGGTGTTGATCACAGATTCTGGAATAAAAGACAGCTGATTTCTAAAAACAACAAATCCAAGTGTATGTGTTTTTGTGCTTGTATACGTGTGTAGGCAAGTGCGCATATTTGTAATCAATTCTGTGTTTTTGTTAAATTTTGGCAATACTAAAATTAGAAGCCAAGAGACTCTTGCTAGAAGTGCAGGTATTCTTAGCTCAGTCTGTTAGTTCTCTGTACTGTTAAAAACTGTGATTGCATATTAATGTTATTAAAGTCATTAGAATCAGAGGGAAGGGGGAGGGGGCTAAGGGGAGAAAGAAGGGGAAGGGTTAAGTCAAAGAACAGGTATAAAGAACCCATGGACAAAGTTAATACATACTCTAATTGGACAACAATAAAAAAAGAATATTTCGGTTTCCTTTTTGCTACATCAGCTTCCTTCCACATATGAATGTGGGTTTCAATAATTGTATGTTGATCTAATTAATTCATATGCCCATGTGGTAACCCAAAATATTTAAAGGTTAGTTGACCCTTGACCTACTTATTTTAATGTGCTTATACTTCTCACCAAAAACATGCAAGACAGCAGGTATGTGAAAAAATACAACTTTAATAAGCAAGGGGATGGCATCTCTTTATTGGAGGAGCTTGCATTAGAGGAATTTGGCAGCCATCCAGGTGGCAAATAAAGTTGTTTAAATATTTGCTCATTAGTGAAATGAAACAGTATCAATTTAATTCATTCCCATTTCATGTTTCCTATGTTTCAAAGCAACTGTTTAATACACACTCTAACACACTCTAAAAGTTTCTCTGGAGCTCTTGTGTTACAATTTGTTTCCTTTTTTTTTTCTATAACTAGATATAAAGGAATGAAGTCACATTGAATGAGGTATTGGGCCCCCCCCAAAATCTTCTCACCCATTTGTTTGAAAGTTTGTTCGTACATTTCAGTGACTGCAAAATCACCAGTTGCGCACCACTAGCAGTGCTCAGAGGCTGAGACGAGCTAATGAAGGAGACTGGGTATCATATCAGATAGCTGGTGCATTCCAGGACTATTTAGGGTAAACGAGAGCCTGCCACAGAAGGGGAAGCTGCAGTGTAGCTCTAGGTTTATCTTGAGACCTTCAGATAAGGAGATAAAGTGCATATTAATCCCTCAGGATAAACAGCCTTTGCTGTTGTATTGGATAAGCATCTGTTTTGTCAAAGTTAGTCTGTGGGCAATCAGTGGTGAATTATTGGAGGGGGTGGGGTCAGAGATGCAGAAGCTAGAAATGCAGTAAACGGCGTCCAGCTCACTTTGGTTATACATCCCAGGGCTGTCCTCTCATCCACACTTACTGAGAAATCTGCACCTGGGTGGGCACAAATAAAGTTAATATTTTCAATCTCTTCTGACTTTTATTATGCCTGGATCTGCCATGGGGAACCCAGAGAGCTAGAGGGCTGAGGAATTATCTCTAAACTTCCACAGACATCAGGACCCTTCGGGATGAGCTCCTTGAGGTTAAGGATCCTGTATTATTGCATACATTTCCTCCACAGTGTCCAGCACGATATTAGGCAAAATTAAGTGCTACATACATAATTGTTAAATGTGTATCTTCTGAATAATGCCAACAGTTGTTCTTTATTATTTTTATTCTTTCTAAAAAGGAACAGTGCTAAAATCAGATCATAAGCCTTTGGATAAAGTAGAGCATAAGAGTTCTTCTTTAATTAACCATACTCTGGTTTTCAGTCCCATGCATAACTTACTTTTACTTAATGCTTCTGAAAAAGCTAAATAAATATACTTGTTACAATGCAAGAACAACATTAGCCTGAGGGTATCACCATAGGTCGCTGTTCCTACCAGAAAAAAAAGGCAAGATTTGGAGCAGAAATCCAAATAATTATTCATCTATTTTGAATACTACCCTAACAGTTCTGCTTAGAGAAAAGGTTAGCTGACCTCCTATTTTTCCCTTCAATTATGCTTGCATAATGATAAATTTAGAGCCAAGGGGATTTTGAAGTACTGGCTAAATTCCCATGCAAACAATGCAGTTTTGAAAAATGTGTTGAAATGTCTCTTTAGTAGCTGTGCCCACTTTTGCAAGATTAATTCTGTAAATAGACAGTTGACACATTGCTGTATCAAGGTCACAGACACTAGATATGGAGCAAATGATTTTAGGCATTTAGATCTATTTCAGCGTTTAAGTTTACATGTCAGCGATACTCTGTTTTTCATGATGTTGTCTGCATACTTCTCAGCCTTCTTCCCCAAGGCAAATGTAAGGATAATTTCAGGAGAGAAGATCAAAGTACTTTTTTCACCGATTATTTCAACTCATCTGTAGATTATGGAGGTTTTTCCCTCACTGTCTGTGAGAATTTGTTTCACAACAGAGTTTCTAACTAGTACATTTTCCCATAGATTCCACCTTGTTCCGAGATGGCACCCAATGAGACTCAGCTTCTGTTATTTATTCCCGTGTGTTGTCTACTCACAAATTACATTGGGATTGGTCTGAGTGACCGATAGAATGTGGATGAGGTTGAAAAACTTGCTACATCCACCTTCCTCCTCTCTCGGTTTGCTCACTCAGTGGGGAGCCAGCCACCTTATCTAGCAGCCTGTTGATAAAATGACGTGGCAAGAAACAGCACCGACTTGCCTGTGGTTTGAGTCAGCCATCGTGAGGTGCACCCCCAGGCCAGGCCAAGCCTGCAGATGACTGTGCTCTCAGTATCTTGACTGTAAATTCCTGTGCCACCCCATGCTAGAATCTCCCAGTTAAACCATTCCTGAATTCCTGATTCAAAGGAGCTTTCACAACAGGGAAATGTAACCCCCACCAACATTCTTTTGACATTCTTTCCATAAATGCTGACTCTGGCAATATGTGGCTTATTGATCAAGAGCAT